CGACCCCCTTGAAATTTTGTGAGGTGGTAGGAGAACACCGTGGGGTGTTAAAAAAAACTCGGCATATCTGGGAAAACTTCGTAAAGGGGTCAAAACTGACCAGTCGTATTTCCCTATATAATCTTTGTATTTTATGGGAAAAACAGAGGGTCATTTCAACGCGAATTTTAGGGTACTTAAACTCAGTATATCTGGCTAATTTTTTGCATACTTTTAGGTAAATGGGTTGACCTTTAGGAGAAACTGTCGGTTTGACTCAAAGCCCTCGACGAGGGCTAAAAAATGACCGCAAGTGAAATTCTCTTTATATGAGCTATATTACGAAAAACAATTTCCTCCGACGACCCCCCTTGAAATTTTGTGAGGTGGTTGGAGAACGCCTTGGGGTGTCACAAAAAACTCGCCATGTCCGGGAAAACTTCGTAAAGGGGTCAAAACTGACCAGTCGTATTTCCCTATATAATCTTTGTATTTTATGGGAAAAACAGAGGGTCATTTCAAAACGGATTTTAGGGCACTTACCCTCTTTACATCTGGCTAATTTTTGGCATGTTTATAGGTAAATGGTTTGGCCGTAGGGCAGACATGTCGGTTTCACTCAAAGCCCTCGACGAGGGCTAAAAAGTGACCGCGAGTGAAATTCTCTTTATAAGAGCTATATAACGAAAAAACATTTCCTCCAACGACCCCCTTGAAATTTTGTGAGGTGGTAGGAGAACACCGTGGGGTGTTAAAAAAACTCGGCATATCTGGGAAAACTTCGTAAAGGGGTCAAAACTGACCAGTCGTATTTCCCTATATAATCTTTGTATTTTATGGGAAAAACAGGGGGTCATTTCAACGCGAATTTTAGGGTACTTAAACTCAGTATATCTGGCTAATTTTTTGCATACTTTTAGGTAAATGGGTTGACCTTTAGGAGAAACTGTCGGTTTGACTCAAAGCCCTCGACGAGGGCTAAAAAATGACCGCAAGTGAAATTCTCTTTATATGAGCTTTATTACGAAAAAAAATTTCCTCCGACGACCCCCCTTGAAATTTTGTGAGGTGGTAGGAGAACGCCTTGGGGTGTCACAAAAAACTCGGCATATCTGGGAAAACTTCGTAAAGGGGTCAAAACTGACCAGTCGTATTTCCCTATATAATCTTTGTATTTTATGGGGAAAACAGAGGGTCATTTCAAAACGGATTTTAGGGCACTTACCCTCTTTACATCTGGCTAAGTTTTGGCATGCTTATAGGTAAATGGCTTGGCCGTAGGGCAGACCTGTCGGTTTGACTAAAAGCCCTCGACGAGGGCTAAAAAGTGACCGCGAGTGAAATTCTCTTTATGTGAGCTCTATTACGAAAAACAATTTCCTCCGACGACCCCCCTTGAAATTTTGTGAGGTGGTTGGAGAACGCCTTGGGGTGTCACAAAAAACTCGCCATGTCCGGGAAAACTTCGTAAAGGGGTCAAAACTGACCAGTCGTATTTCCCTATATAATCTTTGTATTTTATGGGAAAAACAGAGGGTCATTTCAAAACGGATTTTAGGGCACTTACCCTCTTTACATCTGGCTAATTTTTGGCATGTTTATAGGTAAATGGTTTGGCCGTAGGGCAGACCTGTCGGTTTCACTCAAAGCCCTCGACGAGGGCTAAAAAGTGACCGCGAGTGAAATTCTCTTTATAAGAGCTATATAACGAAAAAACATTTCCTCCAACGACCCCCTTGAAATTTTGTGAGGTGGTAGGAGAACACCGTGGGGTGTTAAAAAAAACTCGGCATATCTGGGAAAACTTCGTAAAGGGGTCAAAACTGACCAGTCGTATTTCCCTATATAATCTTTGTATTTTATGGGAAAAACAGATGGTCATTTCAACGCGAATTTTAGGGTACTTAAACTCAGTATATCTGGCTAATTTTTTGCATACTTTTAGGTAAATGGGTTGACCTTTAGGAGAAACTGTCGGTTTGACTCAAAGCCCTCGACGAGGGCTAAAAAATGACCGCAAGTGAAATTCTCTTTATATGAGCTATATTACGAAAAAAAATTTCCTCCGACGACCCCCCTTGAAATTTTGTGAGGTGGTAGGAGAACGCCTTGGGGTGTCACAAAAAACTCGGCATATCTGGGAAAACTTCGTAAAGGGGTCAAAACTGACCAGTCGTATTTCCCTATATAATCTTTGTATTTTATGGGGAAAACAGAGGGTCATTTCAAAACGGATTTTAGGGCACTTACCCTCTTTACATCTGGCTAAGTTTTGGCATGCTTATAGGTAAATGGCTTGGCCGTAGGGCAGACCTGTCGGTTTGACTAAAAGCCCTCGACGAGGGCTAAAAAGTGACCATGAGTGAAATTCTCTTTATGTGAGCTCTATTACGAAAAACAATTTCCTCCGACGACCCCCCTTGAAATTTTGTGAGGTGGTTGGAGAACGCCTTGGGGTGTCACAAAAAACTCGCCATGTCCGGGAAAACTTCGTAAAGGGGTCAAAACTGACCAGTCGTATTTCCCTATATAATCTTTGTATTTTATGGGAAAAACAGAGGGTCATTTCAAAACGGATTTTAGGGCACTTACCCTCTTTACATCTGGCTAATTTTTGGCACGTTTATAGGTAAATGATTTGGCCGTAGGGCAGACATGTCGGTTTCACTCAAAGCCCTCGACGAGGGCTAAAAAGTGACCGCGAGTGAAATTCTCTTTATAAGAGCTATATAACGAAAAAACATTTCCTCCAACGACCCCCTTGAAATTTTGTGAGGTGGTAGGAGAACACCGTGGGGTGTTAAAAAAAACTCGGCATATCTGGGAAAACTTCGTAAAGGGGTCAAAACTGACCAGTCGTATTTCCCTATATAATCTTTGTATTTTATGGGAAAACAGAGGGTCATTTCAACGCGAATTTTAGGGTACTTAAACTCAGTATATCTGGCTAATTTTTTGCATACTTTTAGGTAAATGGGTTGACCTTTAGGAGAGACTGTCGGTTTTACTCAAAGCCCTCGACGAGGGCTAAAAAATGACCGCAAGTGAAATTCTCTTTATATGAGCTATATTACGAAAAACAATTTCCTCCGACGACCCCCCTTGAAATTTTGTGAGGTGGAAGGAGAACGCCTTAGGGTGTCACAAAAAACTCGGCATATCTGGGAAAACTTCGTAAAGGGGTCAAAACTGACCAGTCGTATTTCCCTATATAATCTTTGTATTTTATGGGGAAAACAGAGGGTCATTTCAAAACGGATTTTAGGGCACTTACCCTCTTTACATCTGGCTAAGTTTTGGCATGCTTATAGGTAAATGGCTTGGCCGTAGGGCAGACCTGTCGGTTTGACTAAAAGCCCTCGACGAGGGCTAAAAAGTGACCGCGAGTGAAATTCTCTTTATGTGAGCTCTATTACGAAAAACAATTTCCTCCGACGACCCCCCTTGAAATTTTGTGAGGTGGTTGGAGAACGCCTTGGGGTGTCACAAAAAACTCGCCATGTCCGGGAAAACTTCGTAAAGGGGTCAAAACTGACCAGTCGTATTTCCCTATATAATCTTTGTATTTTATGGGGAAAACAGAGGGTCATTTCAAAACGGATTTTAGGGCACTTACCCTCTTTACATCTGGCTAAGTTTTGGCATGCTTATAGGTAAATGGCTTGGTCGTAGGGCAGACCTGTCGGTTTCACTCAAAGCCCTCGACGAGGGCTAAAAATTGACCGCGAGTGAAATTCTCTTTATATGAGCTCTATTACGAAAAAAATTTTCCTCCGACGACCCCCCTTGATATTTTGTGAGGTGGTAGGAGAACGCCTTGGGGTGTAACAAAAAACTCGCCATGTCCGGGAAAAATCGGGAAACGGGTCAAAACTGACCAGTCGTATTTCCCTATATAATTTTGTATTTTATGGGGAAAACAGGGTAATTTCTACACAAATTTTAGGTTACTTACTCTTTGTATAACTGGCTAATTTTTTGCATACACCTCTATAGATGACTGGGCCGTATGGAAAAACTGTTGGTCAGCATCAAAGCCCTCGAAGAGGGCTAAAAATGACAGCGATTGAAATTCCATTATACGAGATTTGGTCATTTGGTCTATGAACAGGGGCGGTAACTTTTTAATGTAACAATTTTTTAATATTTTGTATACTCTTTTTAAGAAAAAGCAAAAATCATAATGTATAGCATTGTTTTGAATAAATATTTTGTTATAAATTAAGTTTTGCACTGTACTAAAATTGTAAAAATTAATTACGAAAGTAATTTATTATAATATTTGATTAATAATTTTTATGAAAGCCCTTTCAGTTCTAATAACCTTGCGAGTAATAAGTTTGCGAATATTCCTTCAATTTATGGGCACAATAAAAGTACCCGACTGTATAAATTTAGGCCCTAAGCATTTAACATAACAGCCAATCACCCATTAATTAATCATTCAATTTCTCAACTTTTTTGAAAACCTAAGCGAAGCTAGGCAGTATGCCTAGTAAAATATAAAAAGTGCTCTACCTTAAACAAAATTTAGGACTGTAATTTGCAGAATGCTCCATTACATAAGAAATAGATTACCAAACGATATTAACATTTGAAGACCGTATAGTCTTGTATGTTGAGCATTCAATTTTCAATACAATTAATGTCTATAAGATATGTCAATGCTGACGATGATTAAAAAATTCATTGTAAATTATTTTGAATTCATTTACAGTTATATTATTTTTGAAGTATATTCTTAAATCTACATTTGTATAAAAAAAATAGCATCAATAATTGTAATGGGTGTATGGTAGTTTGTAATTGTTTGTTTTTTGAGGACAATAGACATTTTTTATATTTTTGTTTCACACATGCTGAAGTAAAGTCCCGAGTCCTGACCAAGATTCGAACTCAAAACCTTCGGGGCAGTAGCCGAACACGTTCTACCATTCGACCACGCCATCCCATTCATGACAATAATGATATGTTACTCCCGATCTCTATATTCGAATAATTGCTTTATAATTCCGTTTTGGTTAAAGATCTTGACCACATGGCCAGTAATAAAGCAACGGTCTCGGTCTCGGCAAGGTTTCATAAACAACTGGATCAAAGCACAGTGGTATCTTCGACCATTCGCTGACCGGAAGTCGAGAAAATGGATTTTGGAACATCAAGAGTTGCTTAAGTTTAGGTGGTAAATGTATGTGCGAGAGTCTCTCCTCTCTCTTCGGACTTTCTCCCAGCATGGTTGAAACCGTTAAGAAGGCTAGTTTAACCAGGGGCCAGGGTTCAGACGTGGCGTCTTTTAAGAAATCTGTTTCCGTGGATGACAGTGAACGGTGTTCACTAGCAGAGGAACTAGTACAATTTAAGTAAAGATGAATTTGATGTAGATTCAAGTAACCAGTTGCAATCATGTATTTAGTCACATCAGTTCTGCCTTGCTGAAGTGATATCATCAAATTGGGTAAGATCAACTTTCCTTCAGGGTGCTCAATTAATGTGAATGTTTCTAACATAACACCGTTGCATACTAACATTCGTAGATATTCTAGCTTGCCGAATGTGAGGAGAGCTCCGAAATTAATTGTATGGAATAGACTGCAAACGTCTGTTGTATTTGAATCTATTAATAGACGACGGTATTCCTCGTCGATAATTGGATTCGCACCACGTTTTAGTAACATTTCTGCTTGAGCAATTCGAATTCCTTTGTCTTGAATCATAAGACAGTAGGTAAGAGCCGATCTCTTTTCTCTGTCTTTAATATCTAGGTTGACCCCAAATCTAAGAAAACAATCCAGGTATTTGTTAAGGCACTGTCGTTTAGTTATGTACATTAAAGCAGTCAGCCCGTTCTTATCTGTTATGTTGATGTCGGCGCCGCCCCTTAATAGAATATCAAACATTGTAAAATGTGTGTGTTCTTCTGGGTACAAAGTACTATCAATGTTTTCGGCAGCTGCGATTAATGGAGGGGTGCCACAACTCGAAACCGCGTTGACATCAGCCCCGGCGGTGAGAAGAAACTCAACCATGTCTTGATCATTGAAGCAGACGGCTAGAATTAAATGTGGCAAAGGTTCCGGGACGTTCGAGTTTATTTCAGCACCAGCTTCAACCAACAGCCGAACTAGATTGATTTTCCCGTAGAAAATTGCGTAGTGAAGCGCCGATTTTCCTTCACAATTTCTCAGATTTACATCCGCTCCCGTGTCACACAACAACTTAACAATGCTTTTATCGTCAGCTAACATTAAGGGCGTGTCACCGTTTTCAGCTTGCACGTTCACACTACATCCTTGTTGCAATATGAGTGGCAGCGCTTTTCGGCTCAACCCAAGCACCGCCATATGCAATGCGGTATAACCTTTTTCGTTTTTTATATTAACATCAGCATTATAGCTCAGCAATTTGCAAGCTACATCGTCGTTATAATTTCTTAGTGCTACCATTAGAGCAGTTTCACCAGGAGCACAACTTTCACGATTTTGCTGAGATCGTCTAACTATTTCACCGTAATCTTGAGTATTGCGTTCATACAGAGCAATCTCTAATGGCGTGGTTGGTTTCTTTTTAAAGCTTTGAAAATGATAAAAATTCCTTAGTTTCAATGGCGGCTTTTCTGTATATAAATCTTTAGCGTTAATTATTTCAAAAGACTTCTCCACATTCAACAAAATGTCAGTTATCTTAATGCAACGGTATTTCGCTGCAACGTGTAGTACAGTCTCGCCTCTGTTGTTTGACACTGTGACATCAGCACCAGCATCGATTAAACGTTGTACCATGTCAACGTTTTTACTTTGAACAGCATAATGAAGAGCCGTGTTGCCTGCTACGTCAGAAACATTGACGCGCGCTTCAGCGGTAATTAGTGTCAGGAAAATTTTCATTACCTCTTCGATCATTTCTTTATCCATTGAACGTATTTGTAATAGTATTTTGGCAGCACAAATTAATGCTGTTTCTTGTTTTTCATCAGTTATATTTACATCTGCTCCAGCTTCTATTAGAATGTTCACATAGTCTAGATCCATTTTTTCTACACAGTAATGTAAGGGTGTTTTACCGTGCTCATCTGCAATATTCAATGCTGCTCCTTGATTTATAAGCAAGTGTATCATTTTTGTACATGCTGTCTTGTTGTCTAAATTAAATTGTGTTGTTTTGTTTTGATCAAGCACCCTTACGACAGGGTTATAATGAACCAAATTCTTTACAGAATTATAGTCTTTTCCTTTGATGGCGACGTGTAAAGGAGATTCTAATTTTTCATTCGTCTGGTTGATGTCTGATCCTGCTTTAATTAAAATATCAATTATCTCTAAACAGCCATTAACACGGCCTTCGGACAAAACTTGTACGTTTTCTTGAAATCCTCCCGCAATTACGGCAATATGAAGGCATGTGTTTCCAACTTGGTCTGTTTTTGTCACATCAGCTCCACACTGAAGAATGTTCTTGACAAGTTCGGCATCACCTGACTCTGTTGCCAACAGCAGAAGTGGAACATGGTTTTCAGTAGTAACGTTAACATTGGCTCCTTTCTGTACCAGCCATTTGGCAACTTCTATGTTTCTTTTTCTTATCGCTAGTACTAAGCAAGAATTGTTTTTAGTGTCGCAGACGTTAACATCTGCTCCTTGTACTATAAATTGTTTCAGTAGCTCAACACTCCCAAACTCTAAAATGCTCACAATCGGCAAGACTCCAGATTTGTTTGGTACATTAACATTTGCACCAGCTTTAACAAGATAGGCCAGCTTTTCAATATTTTTGTCTTCAATCGCTTCATGTAGAATAGAATGGCCGCACTTGTCCAAGGCATTCACTAACCCGCCTGCTTCTATCAGATATTTCATTGATTCGATGTCCCCAAATCTGGAAGCAAAATGTAGAGGTGTTTGACCATCGCTTGTTTCAGCATTGACAACCGCCCCAGCTTCTATCAGCATTTTCACTAGTTCTTTATTATCGGGTAGCTGCGTATCTTTTGTGACAAAATTAATATTACTTCTTTGGCCATACGCCGCAATATGCAGTATCGTCCATTGGTTTTTTCTTGCAAAAGTTTTATTAGATTTTGCTTTAATGAGAATATCGACACATTCAATACTTTTGTAAGTCACAGCTTTCGTTAACATAGTTTCATCTTCTTGGAAAACCATGTTAACATCAATCCCTTCCTCTAAGAAATATTCCAATAAATATTTATTGTTGAGCCTTTTTGTGTACGTCGATTTATGCATTAGTGAAATGTAACTTCCTGCTTTAATCAAAGCCTTTACTAAATCAAGACGATTTTGTTGAAAAGAAACAGACACAGCTGTCTTATCTTCTGTGGTATGGTACATATTTTGGCTTATAAGAAGTTCCTCTCCCTTGACAACAGCATCCAAAAAATTATTTTCTCTGGCCATATCTAAAGCCTCAATGCCCTTCTCACAAGAAAGGAAAGCGCCATGTTGAAGCAGTTCTCGTACAGCAGTTGTGTGCCCCTTGTCAACAGCAAGAGACAAAGCTGTGTAGCTGCCATACGAAGATCTGCTGACATTCACATCAGCGCCAGCTTCAAGTAGAGCTCTCAGAACTTGGATGTTCTCACGTTCTACTGCCAGCATTAACGCTGTGTAGCCATTGTTGCTTCTAAAGTTGATTTTAAATTTATCTATAACACCACCTGAGAGTGCAGTCTTGTAAACTACTTCTTCAAAACTAACATAAAAATCATTCACATCGGAATCAAAACTGGAAAAGCTATCTGAATGGTCGACAAATCCACGAGCGAAGAACATTGTGTTTTCAAATCTTTAAAAATAATTTAAAATATATTTTAACTTTTAAAATATAAAACAAATCGCAGTGATGTAAAAGTTAATAAGAAACCAGCAACATTAAACTTGTATTATGAGTAAATGTAAGTCATGTTTACATGATAGCTGTAACTTTGTAAAATAATTAGGCCTAAAAATTATTTTAAAAAAAAAGACGAAACTGGCAAAGCGGTATATACTTTTACGTTAAGTCATGTGAGTATGTGTTACGTCCTTTGTATTATGATTATATCCATGATTGTGTATTAAATGGAAGATGTGTTGTTTACGTCAGCCAGTTACAGTGAGAGAGATCTGATGGTCAGAGTTGGTCAGACACTGATCTTGAAATGTCTAATAAAGTTTCTGAGTAAACATTATGTCGTCTACTGTTTACGTACAGCGAGTTTGAGTAATGTAACATTTACTGCTATATAAAATTAACTGAAAAAATTAAAAATTATATTGAATATATATATATATATATATATATATATATATATATATATATATATATATATATATGAGTTTCTCTATTTCAAAACAGGATATAATGTGTATGTTAATAAGAAATGCATGCCACCCGTTAGTCTAAGATCTTATTACCCATTACCATTTCTTCCACTAACTGTTTAGATACCATCTCCTGCCCCCAACCCTGAGTCAATGTCAAAATAGCAACACAACCTCTTTAAGTTATATGTAACATTAACTTGTAAGGCAACATACCGCAGCCTACTGTGTCGTTATTTCCTTCCTGTTGAATAAATTAGCGAGGCGGCACAGTGCAGGTGCGGTTTACGTATGCCTTAATTCGCCTGTACGCGGCAAAGCAAGGGTTAGGTGGTTAGTCCTGTGTACTAGTATAAGAAGTATAATAAGAATGTAATACAACTTAAGCACGTAAAATTATTGTTCCGGTTTAGTTTATTATGTTAAAAAAACAATTAACAGTGTTCCTTTAGTTTCTTATTTAAACTCGTAAATTGAAAAACAATGAGAATTTATTAAAATGTTTGGGAGAGATCTGCGGATTCATTAGCTACAGCATCATAACGTCTTTTATCAAACAATTTTAAATGGGGTTGGCGTGGTCCGGTCCGAAAAGCTCATGGCTGCTAAAGTAACAATTGTATTGAGGTCATATTATTAATATGGCCGACAATGTTGCCTTAGTTTTCTAAACACCATTTTTGAACCATTTCCCTGGCTATATCTATTGTTTGTTTACTTATCGCCATGATTAAGCACACATTATTTTTAGTTTCAAAGCATTTACTTCTTCCCAGAGTTCTATAAATTACGTGCGGCCGTTAAATGAAACAATTTAATAAACGTTCTACTTACTCTAATTTCTTAGTGTGTTAATCGCTTTCAGTTCGAGAACAGAACTACATTCAACAAATGCAAGCTGTATCTGACAACACATCTCCCGTGACACCTATTTTTAACTTGGTTGATCTCAGACTTGCAACCTTACTACGCTAAAATGTCACACTATTGTTCTGGGTAACTCATGCGTGACACTATGCATTGGGTTGTTGCTGGTTTGGATTCTTGTATTTTAAAACACGAAATCCACCCAAGATTATCTCATTTGTATTCGAAAGACATTTTTAACTTAATATAATAAGATTGTGCTAACTACTGCTAATTAAAATGTTAGCAGATCATTTAAAGAGTGTTCTGTCTTTTGCTGAAAGTCTAGTGAAATAACTTATATATGGATTCTTGTAAAACCAAAAACTTTTTAAATGGGAGAATAGTTAGCTTTTAATAAATACAGCGATAATAGTTTCTCTTCTGCTGTAGGCTGTATACGAAATATTATTGAGAATAATGTTTTGAGAATGAAAAGGTATTTGTATTCAGGAAAATTTTCAAAAGGCTTTGTAGCTCTGCTATGATGCGATGATATCTTGTTAAGACACTTTTATGCTTAAATATCAACTATTGGTCTGAGAAAAGACTTATGTTGAGCTTTGAAAAACAGGCTCAAATCTGTAAGACTTCCATATTCAAATTCCTTTTGAGACACATCCAGGGAAATTGTAATTGTAAATGCAGACCAGTATTGCGAGACAGGGTCAAAGTTCACAAATAGGCAACCGAAAGGTAAAGTTTTCTTGGTCGTACACATATTCGCACCACAATAAATGAAGACTCAGCTATCTCATTTCACGGTCAACAACAACCAGCATTGTACGAACGACAAAAGTGGTGGTCTTTGAAATACCAACTATTATAAATTAGGCAGTAAACGGTAAGTGATTTATTTTAGCGTACTGTGTTTTCCATTTTTACAAGCATTTATTTAGTTCGCAACGTCTGTTTATTTCCAATCCAGCGATTTTATTCAAACTTTCCAGATACCTTTCACTTCGATGACAATACACGTTTGTCTTTGTTTTAATTTAATAAATGTTTAAATTAATAATTAAACATTAAATAAACAGTTTCGAAACTAAGGGGAGATATAAAAAATTCTATAACAAAAAGGGAGATAACTAGCAAGACACCATCACCCTAAGAGTATGGTGAGTAGTGGTTGAATTTTAACAATCGTGGAGCCGGTCGTTCTAGTAAAGAATTTTAAGGGCAGATAATGCAACTTTTAAACGACTTAAATTTAATGAGTGTAACAAGATTAAGAACATGCTTTAGTCTGTAAAATATGGTCACAGACGGCTGCTTTCACGGGCAGATAATCGTCTTTCAGAAATTGCAACCTTTTGGTGGTATTTTAAAGGAAATATTTTTAGTCGCGTTGAGTTCATAAATAAGGAATCACCGAAAAGTAGAAAATAAAACAGATACTTTAAAAATCTTTATAGCAACAAGCGTTTAAATGCACTGAAAATTAGAAAAAAAAATTGCTTTTTTTTAAATTAAAGGCTTTGGTCGCTCAATAGGTCGTTTACATATTTTAGCGACAGTTGAGCCTTTACGGCTACATAAAAACGTGTGTGTGTGAGTGAGTGTGTGTGTTAATTAGCATTGTTGTTCTTGACTGCCTAGTGGTTTACATAAAATACACAAGTACACAAGTTGCTACTACCTTTTCATATTTTGAGCTGTACCAAACCACGGAAATACTGCTAAATATGTATGCATCCTGGTGTCGCTTTTTAGCTACATATTTAACGGAATCTGCATTGATACGTTGTCAGGAGAGCTTTATTTTTGAAGATGATATCTGCTTTAATTTACTATACAATGTTTTCTTTTCTTTTTCTTCATCCTAAGCTGTTGAAGGGTATTTCCTCTAACACAATTAAGTATTACAAGTCAATATATTATGCTCCATATGTTCCATATGACCCGTAGATTCCGACTTCAGCATAATTTTCTATCTAGTTTTACTGTCCACACAACAATAATCTGAAAGGCAGCGGTTGTTTGATTTTAAAGTTTTATCTCTTAAATGGGATCTGTCGAACTCTAGATTAGGCGAGCTAGCAATCAAACTCAACATTCAGACCAAGCCGTCCTTTACTATTCAACGCAATAGTTTGTTTTTCATTACTATATAGATATGTATGTTAGAAATTCAGTACCTGATAAAAATAATATTATATTAGATATAATTTTCTTGCTCATCTCTAAACTTTATTTCGTATCTTGCATCATTTATTTATTGGGGTTTTAATACAGGTTTCGCATCGTCTTTTATTTTGTTAACTCTTACAATAAAATGCAACGACATTGGTAATTTAATTTATAAAATGGGATGAACTTAATCAATCTCACGAACTGATCTTGAGAAAAAGTAGCAATAAAAAAACAGAAACAACACTATTATTTATCTTTTATTACATGTAAAAAAAATATCAATAACAAATATAAAACAGAGATATGTGAGATTTATGTTGTTTCTGTAGAAAGCTTTTGACCGTTGACCTATCTGGTTTAGTGAATATATCCTGAACTAATATGAATTTAGACTTTGGAAAAAAAATTATTTAAGGAATGATATATTTTTGTTCTTTAGTAAAATTGAATTTAGTATAAATTAGAAATGTATTTCTATTAAATAAAAACATCTGACCAATAATGATTAATCTATAATTAAATTCAAAATTAAATTCAAAACGATGTAAATAATTAAAATGACAAAGTACACTTTAAAATTTTAGTCACCACTTATGTCTAAATAAGTGTTAAAAACGTCAAAACAATATTGAATGCATTTAATTTTAAAATCACCTACATTTATAGTCACATAAATCTATTACGATATCTACATATAGATTTTTTTTTAAATATCATCAGTACTAATACTAGTCTCTTTGTCATGGCACAGGAAGGGTTAAAGCCTACTAGCTTACGACAACAGTCTCAATGCTTACTCAAAAACTATTGTTTGTTTTTTTAGAAAAATAAAATTGTGTTGACTTAGTATAATAATTGTGTTCAGTTTAAAATGAACATTGCTTTCACTTATTTAAGTACATACTTGAATAAATCAAAATTTTCATCTTCTGAATCTAAATCTTCTTGTTCTGGTGTGTCTTGGTGATCGTTGTTCACGTCCAGTTGAGTATTTTTATGATCGATCTCAGGAGAACTGTCTAAATCGGACATAAAACCTTCAGAACTGAAGCCTTCGTCGGGGGACACGGTCAAAAGATTTTCGCAATTGGCACCACTTGTGTCATCTGTTGTTTTATCTTCATCAGTTTCTGAGATATCTAAAGATAAATCTGCTCTTGTAATTTTAGATGCAAGCAAATTAATGCTATTTTCTGGATTTTTATTTTGTAAAGTTTGGGAATTTACTTTTGGAAATTTTGGGAAAATGTCTGTGTCGCATTCTGTTGCTGTTCTCTTTAGTGACAGTTTTGAATGTGTAGGTAGTGTGGGTGTTGTTTTTTGTAGTGTTGTTGTAGTGTGTGGGGATTGCTGTTGTTGTGTGGTTAAAGTGACTGTAGAGTGTTGCTGTATAGTGGTTGTTTTGTGCAAAGATTGATTCTTTATAATTGAAGTAGTTGGAGAATGGCGCACTACTGTGTTTGTAGTCCGTAGGTATTGTTGTTGTGGTGTGTTTGTAGTTTGTGGGCAGTGTGTCTGTGATGTGGTTGTTGTGTGTGGTGAGTGTTGATATAATGTTGGTGTAGTATGTATGCAAAATGGTGGTGAGAAATAAATTTTATTTGTATCAATAGTTTTACTGCATAGAAGTACTGTTCCTATTTTCTTTTGTCCACAATTCACAACAGTCGGAGAATTATTGTTATAATTTTCCACAGAAAGATTATCACTTTTACTGTCTAAAGGAAAGTTTCTGCCTAACTTTTCTTGTAATTTCTTAACTTCGCTTTGAATTGAAACGCCACTTTTCACAAGACACTCCACGACTGATGCTGCCGAAAAATTAGAAATGTTAAATGTTTCTGCGACTATTTTTTTTAATTCTTGTTCTTTCTCTCTCAATTCTTCAGCTACTTTTATTAACCTCGTCAACAAAAATAAATCCTGGTAACGTCCACTTTGATACAAATCTGTCTGTTCTTCCCACTGTTTTGGGAATCTTCCTTCATCGAGCAGCTTCCCCTGTAGGATGTTGTACTTGATCTTTAGTTCTTCTAAAGTGTCTTTCTTCTTGCCTGTGGGGTTTCTCCACGGCGGGTATGTGTGGAGCCACCACTTCGGAGCTTGTGCTGGTAGCCAGATGTTTTCACGGCTTTTATCCTTCCCGACCAAGATTCGAGACCATTCTCTGATTGCAGAGATCAAATACTCTTTTAACTTGGTGACCGAGTCTACTGCTGACTCAGAGTTGTCCATATTGTCATGGCGACCGCTAAAATTAGCGTCGTCCATGATTTTTCGTCTGTAAGATTATGATCCAAACTCGACCAAATTGTTTATCTTTTCAAGACGATTTATATTGCGTTGTAGTGATGTCAAATATCGTTGTCGTGATTTAAAATCCGCTGAATTGATCGCTTTTATTGAATTCTTTTTTTCCCCTCCGGGGCGGCCGGAAGACGAAAATCGCCATGACGCCCGTCCCTGGTGACGGGCGTATCACGGCGATTTTCTCGTCCACCCCAGGGGGCGCTGGACAACTGGTGGATCTGGTGGTCGCCATGACGTCACCAGTTCTCCAGCCCACCCTGCGTCACGAGCCTGTCACCGCTCCATTGAACCGCGACCGCCCTCTACATTACGTGGTGTGATTCTTCCAGTGGACATTTTCCGCTGAAAATTAAAGTTTGGAATAAGATTTTTAAATGGATTCGATTGGGGGAGGGGGTGGTGGAGTATTATGACATTGTTATTGATAATATTTTTAGAGTAACATGAGATTTTCTATTTTTCAGTTATTGAATATATTCCATCTATACATTACAAGCGTGCCCATCCAGCGTGTTACCGCTGTCGCAGAAGAAAGTCTGGCGCAATATTTTAAGAGGGTTTAAGTGTTGCGTTACCAATCATATCTTAGACGTATGATCTTGTTTTTTAACACTGAGTTATTTAAATATAAACAATGCCTGCGCTATATTTCTTTGATCATATATGTCGGGGTACAGGTTTGCCCACACTGCCGCTGAACACGCCCCAGGACGTGCTGTATGAAAGCTTTGAGTGTACAGTGTACGTTTATCACTCTCAGTAATAGTGAGGTAGAGCACACTTCGGCGACTGTCCTTGTCTCAGGGACGTAGCGGGCTGCTCTCGGGAGCCCTGTTTACACAATCGCGTACAGCCCATGGCTCCATTTAATAATCGAATGTTGTGCCACCGTGTTATTCAGTTTAGTAAACGATTATAATACCCATCTCATCCTTTTATTTTGAGGTTTTTAAAAATAAAATTAAATTGTGACGTTTTGTATTATGTATAAATAAACTATTTTAAATGAATGGTGATACATGTCAGAAAGAAGTATTACTAGGTCCCTATTGTAAATCTGTATCAGTCCTCACAAGCCGATGATGAAAACTGTAATACTAAAGCGAGCATGGCAAGGCAAACAGACGCTGTAAATTACATGTCTGGGGCAATTAAAAACATTTATGCCGAATAAAAATTATGCAAATCGGTGATGCAGGTTATACTATATTAATACACTGGGTGGGGTGAGGTTTTGGGAGCGCATGAGATCTTGCTTTTTTAAAGAGGAGCTGTGAAAAAAAGTACACACACATGAAGACAGACAAGATTGTAATACTAAGCTTTTTTTGACTAAGGAAAGTGTTAAAAGTCGAGATAAATCGTCCACTATTTCAATACTTCCTCTATACTCAGTAAACAAGAAAATAAAAAAGTGTATAGCCTTACATGTCTATACAGACTAACATTTCATACTTTTGGATAATTTTGACATAATATTAGTTGTGGTTACCTGACTGTTTTTACAGTAAGTGTCAGCATTCAATGAATCTAATTGGCAGAGAAGGTGGAGGTTGCAGCTAATTTATATCAGGAAATTGTGCGAGACATTTGTTCAATATTAGAAGCATAGCACATAGCAATGCATTTTTAAGTGTGTGTGTAATTTATTGTATATCGCGAAAGTGGGTAGGGGTGGACTTGATAAATAGTTCTGGCAAGAATAAGCTCTTAAAAGCCGTCAATATTATAACTTTTACAAGGAAATACACTTTCCACTGCACGGTGTTGGTGGTAAACCTTAACATAAAAAAACAGCGTTAATATTTTTTAATTGCTAATGAAAAATAGGAACAGTTAAATTATTTTACTAAACTCGCCTATTCAACAGAAAATTTTTACAACATTAGAGTCTTAATTAAACAATTTGTTGTAGAAAAACTTTATAAATAGGATTACAGTAAAGAGAAATAACACAATGCCCATGTGTTTATAAAGGAAACTAAACTAAGTAGTTATCACTTACCCGACACGCTTGAGTTATAAAAATTTTTAAAAATCTGAGTTTAATCTGGTTTATGGTGCTGACAGTTGATCTCCTCCGTCCAACTTATATAGTCTGAGGCCTGGCTTAACCCGATCACGTGATGTTCCCAACCAATCGTATCCAGTCGACGATGACACGAAAATCCCCTACACGATGCTAGGAAAAGTAATGGATTTCCCCCAACTCGAAAACGAAAGTGGAGCACAGTTTGTAATAGTTAGCAATAGAAAATAGACGACAGACTTGTCACTAATTTGTGTCAAATGCAGTTGCATTTTGCTTAAAAGAGAAACACATAGCAATGAATGAACCAGTGGCGCGCGCACACACACACACACACAGAGCCTTCCCACACTCACACCCTCCCCCCACACACAAACTCCTACACACCAGTCACCCCCTGCCACTGAAACGAACGTGTGTTTATGTTGGTTTCGGTTGTATCGATTAATGCATATTTTGGCGTAAGCTTGTGTACAAATATTATGCAATTACAATAAATTATATAGACTAGTTGGCTTAGGAATTAAGCAAGCAGATCAATCAATTTCCGTGCTGTATAAAATATCATTAATGTTTATTTATAAACTATAGTTGATTCTGAAGCAAATATCATACATGAAGTGGGCATGTTCACAGCACATACTTGAAAACCACTTAATTTACATAGCTAGACCAGCACTAGGCTACAAGTTGATAGAAAAAAAACTTAGTTATAATATGACCTGGATTATTTTTTTAATAACGCTGGACTGAATATCATATTGGGAAATCTTGGTCGTTAGCCAAGTGTGGTTTCAGATTAACATAGAAAAAAAAGGATAACGAAAATTCTAGCATACAAACGAAATTTTTGCTGTTTTTAATCGCCATATTTAACCTGGTGACCTGTGTTTTTCTCTGTCAGCTTTCATTTATATGACAATTCGAAATGTGATATATACTTTCCTCCCCTCAGTCAGCTCCCTTTCTATATCTTTTAAAACTTTGCTGAGGAATGACTTTTAAGAAAGGAATTGTTGCTTAATTGTTAAGACGCCGAGTCAAACATACCATTGATGAGTCTAATGTGAATCCACGAAAGACACTTGCCGGAACGTTCTCCGCACCCACCTAATAGACAATCAGAGTTTCTTCCAGGCATCTCTTCGGGGGGGCATAGCCCCCCCCCCCCCCCGAAAATTTTTTACCGCCCCCCCGAACGAAATGAAATTTATATAATTTATATAGAAAATATATACTTTTAACAGTGTCCGCCCCCCCGAAGAAAGTTTACCGCCCCCCCGAAGATTTCAAGTTCCCCCCCCCCCCCGGAGAAAAAAGTCTGGAAGAAACACTCTAGACAATTACCCCAAAGAACATTTTCGAGTAGGCCGTTTGTTCGAATGAGCATACGCTCGAAAAAACATTCGGGCAAGGTTCTTTCAGTACCCTTCAATCTTAATTAACATGTGTTTTTATTGGGTATGGGCTGGATTGCCTTTTTATCAAGACTGTGATTATTAGTAATAGCAAAGTTCACCTTCCTTTACCTACAAGTTTGGATAGTACTTCTTATCTCTACCCGACTTGGCATTAACATACGCTAGATAAAATAACAGCTTTTTCGCAGGCAGCTCCGTTTGGCGTAAATAATAGGTGTCAATGAGAGAACAATTACACTTATATATATATATATATATATATATATATATATATATATATATATATATATATATATATATATATATATATATAAATATATACATTTATAAGTAGTATATTAGGTCCCTTTTGGGTCGTATTTTTGGCGGAGCAGGTGGTGGGAAGGCGCAAAGGTTATATAGTAAAATACTCGGAGGAGCTGCCGCAGCCTGCCGCAGCCAGGCGCAATGACATATAGTAAAATACTACGCCAACTGCCGGAGGAGTGTACGCCAACTGCCGGAGCAGGTGGTGGGAAGGCGCAAAGAGATATAGTAAAATACTCCCCCACCCTAGGGTGGCGGAGGAGTGAAGGGTGAGTCACCTTTGGGTGACCTTGTGACGTAATCATTGACCTTGTGACGTAATTAATGACCTTGTTATGTAATTTTAATGCGTTTTTTAATGAGTTTTAATGAGTTTTTAAAATTTTAATTAATTTTTATTATCGAGTTACGTAATTTGATTTTAATTATTTTTATTTTGTTTAATTTGTTTGTTTAAATTTTATAGTTGTTTAATTGTTTATATTGTGTAATTTTTATTATCGAGTTACGTAATTTAATTTTTTTAATTTTTGAAATTTTTGAAATTTTTTAATTTTATTTTATTATTAGTTTAATTATTATTAACTAGTTACGTAATTTGATTTTAATTTGATTATTAGTTTGAAATTCATTTTGATTAATTTGATTTTAATTACTTTGTTTGTGTTTTGTATGTTTATTTTTAATAAGTTTAATTAGTTTAATTGTTTATATTGTGTAATTTTTATTGACGAGTTACGTAATTTTAATGTTTTTTAATTAATTTTGATTTTAATTACTTTGTTTGTGTTTTGTATGTTTATTTTTAATAAGTTTAATTAATTTGATTTTTATTTATTTTGTATTTGTTTGATTTTAATTATTTTTATTTTGTTTATTTTTAATTTTATTTTATAATTAGTTTGAATTTAATTTAATTACTTTGTTTATATTGTGTAATTTTTATTGACGATTTACGTAATTGGATATTAATTTTTTAAATTTTTAATTTTATTTCATAATTAGTTAAATTATTATTAACTAGTTACGTAATTTGATTTTAATTACTTTGTTTATTTGTTTATTTAATATATTTCTTTTCTTTGTTGTTTAATTTGTTGGTTTGTTTATTTGCTTGTATGTATGTTTTAAATAAAAGACTAACACTAGCGTGGACTTTGTATAGGGACCATTCAGCAACACAACGAACGTTACAAAAATAGAACATCCATTAAAGATAACGATCAGCCACAGCTGTTACGTATCGACCCGCCCGCGAAGTTTTCTCACCGCTGCCCGTTTTAATGGGAATGTATTGATCGCAGCCGCTGGCCCATCACACCTAATTAAATTTTTGTTATGCTTCACCGAGTTTCCCCCGCTCGGTTGACAGCTGTGCAACAGCTGTTGTGCGACAGCTGGTGGTGTAATTAGGTTGAGCAACCGGACATTACCTTGTTGGTTTTCTAGTACGCGTATGCTACACGTATATACACACACACACACACACACACACACACACTAAATTAGAACAAAAGTCTTCTTATATTTAATTAGTCACGGCTCTCGGCTTTTTTCATTAGATTACAGCTGTCCATGAACTATGTTCACATATCGTACGCCCGGTCATTCTTTGATCAAATTAAAAAATTTTGTTTCCACATGTCCTACGAACCGTCCCTTGCTATGTATGAAAGATTAATGGTTGTAACTATTCGCTTATAGCGAGGGTCAACGAAAACAAAATATATTTAAGGGTCGGAATTTTCTTTCAACCACCGTTAAATCAGGTTTTGAGACGAAACGAGGTCTCGGTAGGTTCGTGCTTTTTTTTTTAATGGGCGACAGGGGCGACTTAGTGCGTTGGTACGTAAGGTATGCGGGGGTAGACATGTTTTTTACAAGTCTGGAAAAGTAATTAAGTTTTTTATGACCGTTCCGATTTTCTTTTGATCTGACCACCATTTGACCACCCTGAGCCAGATAAATTTAACAAATGTTCAATACATACTCGCTTATAGTAACATGGGTGAGGGGTGTAAGCAGACGGGTGACGGTGTGAACAGGTGGGTGAAGGGTGAAAGGTGGGTGAAGGTGGAGAAGGTGGGTGAAGGGGGGGAACACGAGTAGGAGTAAAGGATATATAGTAAAAGACTCTACCACCTGAGTGAGGTGGGTGAGGAGGCGGATTTTAATTTTAATTTTTTATTTTATTTTTTCAGCATCTGTTAACTTTAAGGTTCTATAACTCTATATATTTAAATACATTTTTTGATTCAAACGAGTTTACTTTTCCTAATGTAAGTACAGGTAAAGAGGGATTTCCTATAGATCTGTAATGAAGTAGGCCTTCTTGACTATGACTTGTTGCCCAGGTGTTGACATGATACACTTTTTTGAGATACATGTACACACACACACACACACACACACACACATGCGCGCGCGCGCGCGAAATTCATACTAGGTCGGTAAAGGCGGAGAGAACTTATAGGTATACATTATCATGGCGACAACAAAAGCGACCCTTATTTTATTTACATGAAAGCGTGTTTTCCAAAAAGTCTCACCAGGCCGTTGTCATTTTCGCAGCGGGGTTTATTTTAAGTGCACCCCGTGCACGATTGTTTACATTTTAAAAGACGTGTTGCGTGTCTTCCCCATAGGTCTTCCCAACCTTTGCCAACTCCAAACCTTCCCTGGGCACCCGAATAAAAATACCTCACCCAGCCCCTTAATCAATCAAAATTATTGATTTGTACTTTAGATTGATTTGATTGAATGTTATGTATGCTAACGTCATACCATATTTAGATTTTACACGTCATTATATTGGTGAACTTGAAATGTAGACATTTTAAACGGTGTGTCATTTGACACGACGTACTATAACGTTGTTGTTTTTTAAACCTTGAAGTTTATAATCTTAAGCAAATTTTTACTAAGGTGATCAAAAATTAAGATGACAATGTAAGATATAGAAAAAGAAAATACATTGAGTGGTAAAAATAAAAAATTGTAATTAGACGTAATGTCTTATGTATAAGAAAACTTTCTTAAAAATTAAAGAAGTTCAAGTCAAAAAGAAGTTTGATGAAAACTGTAATACTAAAGCGAACATGGGAAGGTAATCTGCTGCAAGACTAAGATATATATTCGTCTTCCTTCTAGGTTCATTGCCTTTTTTGATTGAGGTTAAACATCGCCATGTTTTCAAATATCGCGATGCAAGTCACGATCTCTCCCCTCTTACTTAGTAATCGCCTCATCTACCCATTGTTTACAAGACTCTTACAAAGAAAAAATATCCCACCCCTCTACTTGAGATATAAACTACAAAAGTGTATTGTGCCTTGTCGTCACAGAAAACAAAAAAGGGTGGCGTCTAATGTTGTTAACCCTTGACTTCCTAAATTATTTTTTAACTTGTTAAAGAAATTGAATGTTTAGTTAAGGATTCTGACGCGAATATGTTTCACAAGGGACGATACTCGTGGCTGTAAACAATGCTGTTCTAATTTTAGAACAGTTGTCTTTCCTCTCGTTTCTCTATTAGGGAAGACCTATGGGGAAGACACGCAACACGTCTTTTAAAATGTAAACAATCGTGCACGGGGTGCACTTAAAATAAACCCCGCTGCGAAAATGACAACGGCCTGGTGAGACTTTTTGGAAAACACGCTTTCATGTAAATAAAATAAGGGTCGCTTTTGTTGTCGCCATGATAATGTATACCTATAAGTTCTCTCCGCCTTTACCGACCTAGTATGAATTTCGCGCGCGCGCGCGCATGTGTGTGTGTGTGTGTGTGTGTACATGTATCTCAAAAAAGTGTATCATGTCAACACCTGGGCAACAAGTCATAGTCAAGAAGGCCTACTTCATTACAGATCTATAGGAAATCCCTCTTTACCTGTACTTACATTAGGAAAAGTAAACTCGTTTGAATCAAAAAATGTATTTAAATATATAGAGTTATAGAACCTTAAAGTTAACAGATGCTGAAAAAATAAAATAAAAAATTAAAATTAAAATCCGCCTCCTCACCCACCTCACTCAGGTGGTAGAGTCTTTTACTATATATCCTTTACTCCTACTCGTGTTCCCCCCCTTCACCCACCTTCTCCACCTTCACCCACCTTTCACCCTTCACCCACCTGTTCACACCGTCACCCGTCTGCTTACACCCCTCACCCATGTTACTATAAGCGAGTATGTATTGAACATTTGTTAAATTTATCTGGCTCAGGGTGGTCAAATGGTGGTCAGATCAAAAGAAAATCGGAACGGTCATAAAAAACTTAATTACTTTTCCAGACTTGTAAAAAACATGTCTACCCCCGCATACCTTACGTACCAACGCACTAAGTCGCCCCTGTCGCCCATTAAAAAAAAAAAGCACGAGCCTACCGAGACCTCGTTTCGTCTCAAAACCTGATTTAACGGTGGTTGAAAGAAAATTCCGACCCTTAAATATATTTTGTTTTCGTTGACCCTCGCTATAAGCGAATAGTTACAACCATTAATCTTTCATACATAGCAAGGGACGGTTCGTAGGACATGTGGAAACAAAAATTTTTAATTTGATCAAAGAATGACCGGGCGTACGATATGTGAACATAGTTCATGGACAGCTGTAATCTAATGAAAAAAGCCGAGAGCCGTGACTAATTAAATATAAGAAGACTTTTGTTCTAATTTAGTGTGTGTGTGTGTGTGTGTGTGTATATACGTGTAGCATACGCGTACTAGAAAACCAACAAGGTAATGTCCGGTTGCTCAACCTAATTACACCACCAGCTGTCGCACAACAGCTGTTGCACAGCTGTCAACCGAGCGGGGGAAACTCGGTGAAGCATAACAAAAATTTAATTAGGTGTGATGGGCCAGCGGCTGCGATCAATACATTCCCATTAAAACGGGCAGCGGTGAGAAAACTTCGCGGGCGGGTCGATACGTAACAGCTGTGGCTGATCGTTATCTTTAATGGATGTTCTATTTTTGTAACGTTCGTTGTGTTGCTGAATGGTCCCTATACAAAGTCCACGCTAGTGTTAGTCTTTTATTTAAAACATACATACAAGCAAATAAACAAACCAACAAATTAAACAACAAAGAAAAGAAATATATTAAATAAACAAATAAACAAAGTAATTAAAATCAAATTACGTAACTAGTTAACAATAATTTAACTAATTATAAAATAAAATTAAAAATTTAAAAAATTAATATCCAATTACGTAAATCGTCAATAAAAATTACACAATATAAACAAAGTAATTAAATTAAATTCAAACTAATTATAAAATAAAATTAAAAATAAACAAAATAAAAATAATTAAAATCAAACAAATACAAAATAAATAAAAATCAAATTAATTAAACTTATTAAAAATAAACATACAAAACACAAACAAAGTAATTAAAATCAAAATTAATTAAAAAACATTAAAATTACGTAACTCGTCAATAAAAATTACACAATATAAACAATTAAACTAATTAAACTTATTAAAAATAAACATACAAAACACAAACAAAGTAATTAAAATCAAATTAATCAAAATGAATTTCAAACTAATAATCAAATTAAAATCAAATTACGTAACTAGTTAATAATAATTAAACTAATTATAAAATAAAATTAAAAAATTTCAAAAATTTCAAAAATTAAAAAAATTAAATTACGTAACTCGATAATAAAAATTACACAATATAAACAATTAAACAACTATAAAATTTAAACAAACAAATTAAACAAAATAAAAATAATTAAAATCGAATTACGTAACTCGATAATAAAAATTAATTAAAATTTTAAAAACTCATTAAAACTCATTAAAAAACGCATTAAAATTACATAACAAGGTCATTAATTACGTCACAAGGTCAATGATTACGTCACAAGGTCACCCAAAGGTGACTCACCCTTCACTCCTCCGCCACCCTAGGGTGGGGGAGTATTTTACTATATCTCTTTGCGCCTTCCCACCACCTGCTCCGGCAGTTGGCGTACACTCCTCCGGCAGTTGGCGTAGTATTTTACTATATGTCATTGCGCCTGGCTGCGGCAGGCTGCGGCAGCTCCTCCGAGTATTTTACTATATAACCTTTGCGCCTTCTCACCACCTGCTCCGCCAAAAAAACGACCCAAAAGGGACCTAATATACTACTTATAAATGTATATATATATATTTATATATATATATATATATATATATATATATATATATATATATATATATATATATATATATATATATATATATATATATATATATATATATATATATATATATATATATATATATATATATATATATAGGCAACTCGAAACCACAAAACCTTGGTATATTATATTTACACTTCTTGATTTAGATAAATGAAAGTTCGTTCTTATACACTCGTTTGTAGGTAATTATAAACTTGATATTGATTTAATATTATAATCTCTGAAAATTAATTATTGCATTATTTATTGTAAGAGTACAATTATACTTATTAAGGTATTGAGGTGATTTTCACAACGACAAACATGTTGTTTAACAAGTCGCAATCGTATTTCGTTGAATCATCGATTGTTAATTTTTTTTTTTTTTTTTTTTGTAAATCGTCTGACCTAATTAAAATTTTAAAACACTTTTTTCTATATCTAAGTGTAAACTTTAAAATATTCATTGTAATTGTTTAATAAAACAGATACAGATTTTGAATAAAACAAAACAAAAATTTTTACAATTTTTTGAATCAACACTTTAATGATCTTAATCTTCTTTAATGTAAAGTTGATTTGCGCTAACTAATATTTTAAAATAAAATATTAATAAAATTGTAATCACTAGCTACAAATAGAAACAGGAGAATATTAAAATAGTAACGTCTATAAAAAAAACTACAAGTACTAAGCAAGTTTGGCTGCTAATTGTGACGGAAATGGTCACTTCCAGTTACTGATGTTACGTGGAGGGCGTTTGGTGGGAAAATTGATGCAAATTCAGCTGGATGATGACTTGTTGGCTTCATTATTTCAAGCGAACAAAGTGGAGAATTTTCAACGTTTATTTATGCAGTTGATATTTTTATTATAATTTATTTTGTTTAAAACTCCCCTGATCTACTTTTCATGAAATTCAGTTTTAAAAGTTGCTTCAAGTTCCGTGTCTGTTCCTATATCATCTATCGAATCGTTAATTATATAATTAATTAAATTAGAAAAATTATCTGGACTGATTGAGCTAGATCTCGTAAGGTCTTCCAATAGCTCTGAGCAGTCGGATAGACTCTGGTTTGTCGATGGTGATGACGTAAGATAATCGGAAGAACTTAAAAACTGAGGTGAAAACGTTTGATCAATGCTGGACGATGAACATGACACGGGTAAACTGTTCTCTTGGAGTGATGTTCCAAAAACGATTTTATCTTGAAGAGGTTGCGAGTGTGTAGAAATATCTTGTCGAATTTGTTCTGTAGTGTTTAACTTGTTTGTAGTAGATTGAAAATCAACAACAGTTATCGACATATCAGTGTCATTTAAAAAATTATTAGCAGAGTTATTATTTTGTTCTAACGTTTGATTTATCGATGTCATTCTCCCGGACTGATAACCTCGTAAATCATCAAAAATATTGGAAGAAACTTTTTCATGACCTCCAACCACGGACGCATTCATATTTTGATGAAAATTTTCTAGTCGTGGTCTTTTGGGCAGAACATTTTCAGCTTCTAAACTATTCCGTTTTTTACAATTTTTACTAACGTTCAACTTTGAAGGGTTATTACAATTTCCTATTTCTGGTTCTGAAGTTTCTTTCACTAAATTGTTATGTGCGGTTGTCAGTAGATCAAAATTTTCGTCGCAATCACTCCTATTGCGTGTTGAGTTGTCTAAAACTTTTAGAAGCTTATAACAACATTTAGCGGTTTTAGTTATACTAATTTCATTGCGCTTAATATAATTCAGAATATTAGGATGTTTTAATAAGCTTTCATCAGTTAAATCGAACGCACTATGTATTTTAGCTAATGTACTGTCGATATTACTTATTACCGAGACAACTCTTGAGAGCTGCAGAAGCTCTTTGAATCTACCGCTTTCCCAGAGTTCCGCCTCTTCTTCAAGATCTCTGGGAAACTTGTTCTCTGCTCGCAGCATCTTGGATAAAATTTTACATTTTATTCTCAAGTCCTCTTTCCTGTCTTTGGGGTTAGTTGTTGGGTTTTTCCAAGCAAGTCTCACATCATAGCTATTTGTAATTGATTTCACCTCCTCGTCCCACACCAGTGGTTTACATTTGTTATTCCAAATTTCTTGCCCCTTTTCCTTGCCTGCCACAACTCTCGATAACTCACGAACAGCAAAGTCTAGCCATTCCTTTTCATTTTTAGCAGCCTTCCTAGTAGATCGTTCTGTATTCATTTTTGCAGTCAAAGTCATACAGTTTTTTAACCTGGTAACTGAGTCTGTTGTTGACTTAAACGTTTCTGACTGCTTGTTGTCCAGACGATCGCTAAAATTAGCGTCGTCAACGACTTTTTTCTGTGTGTCTTGAAGATTATGGTCCAAAATATGACCAAATTGTTTATCGTTTTAAGACAATGTCTACTGCTTTGTAGATTAACGATTTTTGTTGATATTATCGCTTGTATTGAAATCTTTTTTGCGCCTCCGGGGCGGCCGGAAGACGAAAATCGCCATGACGCCCGTCCCAGGTGACGGGCGCATCACAGCGATTTTCTCGTCCACCCCAGGGGGCGCTGGACAACTGGTGGACCTGGTGGCGGCCATGACGTCACCAGTTCTCCAGCCCACCCTGCGTCACGAGCCGTTTACCGCTCCATTGAACCGCGACCACCCTCTACACCTGCAAGCTTGACGGCGAAACTGGACATTTTCAACTGGGGGAAAAAAAGCATATTTGTTTAATTTCAGTAGTTCAATTAACCCAAGCCCGGTGTGTGTGTGGGGGGGGGGGAGTAAAGTAAATTGTAAAATCTTTTATGTTAGAGTAATAAGATTATTTAAACTGGATTACATAGGCAGGTGTATCGTCAGTGGCGTCACTAGGTCGGGTGTCACCTGGTACTGTAACCTCCCCTCTTAATGTCCCCTCCTACACTCCTACAAATTTCTTTGCTGGTTGTTGTCTCGTCTTGCCAAAAACAATTATTTCGCTGTTTAACTTTTAAATTATTATAGCCTGTGGTTAAAATACATTAATCTCTGGTGATTAAACTGGACAAAACTTTAGCTCAGTAGTTTTAGATTTTGTGACATGTTGTCACCTCCTAATGGTGTCACCCGCTGCGTTCCGTAACTCCTGCCCTCGCATGAGTATTATGTAATATAAATGTGTGCCCTGCATTTTGCTTTTGTTTCCCTCAGTGGGAGCGAAGCTTGGTCAAAATAACGCAACTAAACCGTAACATCAAGAGGTATTGAATGTAATCACTTGCAAGGGAAATATTGATTTCAAGCTTAGCCAAACTAAAAACTGACTTTAAAGCTACGAGACACCACAGAGTCCACCAAGCCGTGATGGGTATCTTTGCTAAGTTAGGGAAATAAAAGACAAATAGGCGAAACAATAACAATACTAGTAGAACTAGTATATAGTAGAATAGTAGAACTTGTAGCTGCTAGCCCGAAGGTCTCTGGTTCGGATCTCGTTTAGGATTTGTGGCTGCAGGTAGTCCCCGAGTCCTTCAACCTCTGATAGGTAGGCCTACTTGGTGGAATAAGTGAATGCGGCTGGGCATAGTGCTCCCCACACAATACCTTTATTTGTCGAGGTCAAGGAACGAATCAACTTTATTTCATCTGCCCAAAGTATTTCTGGGTCTAAAGAGGTATCTTTACTTTGGTTTTACTTTACCGAAATAACTCTAAAAACTGCCGCGGCAAAAGAAACAGGTAAGCTCTACCTGATCTGCTTTCTTCACCTTCAGGTTGTTATTTTTTATTAATTGAATTTTGTGTAATTTAATATTTAAAACATTAATAAAGGTATGTAAATTAAAATACTTACGGTTTTATGTCAACTGAGAAAAGTAAAGTAACAAAGTCAAGTTTGTGATAGGCTTAGAAACAGGGAAATTAAAAAAACAAAAACGAGATAGGAAGCAATACACTAGAGTTTAAATTAAATGAAAGTCTGACGCACCGTTTCTTGTCCTGCCTATTTATACACTCTGAGGTCTGGTCACGTGATGTTTTCAACCAACTTTTACCAGTCAACACTGACGTACAATTTAAAACCTCCTAAGACGAATGTTCTGGGAATTATTCGATTTTTTTCCATTTTAAAACGAAAGGTTATAAATACTCACGTATTGATCGTAAACAAAAAACTTTCGTTATCTTTCTTTCGCATTTTATTCACCCTAGTGTAGGCCCTTAAATCAAACTGATTTTAAATAAATCGATATGGCTACCTTATGATATACATAGTGTATATACACTTGGCAAGAAATATAATAAAAATAATGAAAACATTCTACTTAAAGAAATCATTAACATTTCACTACAATATAACACAAAAATTTATTATTTACCCTTACATTACATTACAGTTTACAAACATATTTCTCTAGCCCCACCACCCGTCATATCAATCAACAATTTTAGAACCCCCCCCCCCCCCCCCCCCACACACACACACACTCAACCCCTGCCTTCCAAAACACACCCCTCACAAACACATATAAAACGTGAATAAACTTTGGTACTGCAAATGTTATGTTTCAATCATTTTTACTTTTCGACCACGGAGAGGTGGTTAAAGTTATGTAAATCATGCAAAAAGTTGAAATCAATATTTTCTAAACCAGTTTTGCAATTTAGTCTGATGTATATGTGTGTGTATGCTTTTGAGTGGGTTTATGTGTGAATAAATGAACACATTAACTTAAGTACCGTTTCAGTTCTATCAACAAAATTGATATTATTTTATTAGATCCTATGCGTTTGCTTCTATCAACCTAAACGGAAGTGCTATTTTATGCAATTTCCGGTTTCTTCAGCATTTGATAATTTCTTTTCTTATTCGCATAAAGCAGCACATTTTAAACACTTTACTCCTCTAAGTGTTTACTCGGGAAAAAAATTATTCATTTTGTTACAAATTTACATTCTATTTCTATACCTATATTTTACTGAAAGTGCCATCCCAACCCTAACTGTTATACAAGAATACACGCGAAATTTTTCGGACAGCTCACAACGATTTGAATGTAGTTGGATTGTTCCCACACGTAGGAAGCCTGCATCACGCAAAAGACTGGCCCTAACCTGGAATCCACTGGACAATGAAAAAAAAGGTGACAAAGAAAGACCCGGAGACGACACTAAGAAGACAGGATACACCTGGGGACAATTGGAGAAACCAGCCCAGGACAGAGATGCCTGGAAAATTCTTGTCGGTGGTCTAAATACCCAGGTGAGTTAATGTTTAACTTAACCTCTCCTAACCATAATTATTTAGGACTGTCATTAAAACTTTCTTTTTTAGTTTTGTTTAAAAATTCAATGGTTGCACATACAACGCTAACGTGTTTTTATGTTTTATGGGTCATATTACTTAAATAGACAATTAACTAATTGTGTACTCTTCAATGAGTTTAATTTTAGGTGAAGTACATCAGATTTCAGGAGTTTATGTAAGCTCGGCATGTGCAGGGGTTGTTTGGTGATCACTTTGTCAAAATTATTTTCTTTCACCGACTCGTCTCACTCGGCGATCCGAGCCGACTCCAAAAAAAAATGGAAGATCAAAAGTAAAAAGTTAAGTTTTGTCCCGTTTCTTAACTTTCAAATCCATTGTTGTATGACATTCAGAATATGAGCCTATTTTTCAGTAAACATGTAGTTACAGATGGTCAAAGAAAAAAGAAGAAAAACCATTAATGTTAGAGTTAACTTTATTTCCAAATGTTGGGATATTTTACGACAAAGAATTCATTGTTGTTGGGTTTTTTTTAAAAGTTTGTAAAATTGGTTTATATTATCATTTAAATGTAATTCCATTCAAAACACATTTTAGCATATTCTATTTTAATATAGTGATATTTAATATATGGTTGCAATTAAAACCTTAATTTTTAAAAAAAATTACAACATTAGACGCATTCATATTTAATCGTAACCAATTATTCTTATTTATTTAGGTAAATGTTCTCCACAATTTTACTTGTTAAAAACTACTCTCAAATTTTCTTTAGATCAAAATCTGAAAACCTTCAGTGCCCTTATTTTCCCTAAACCATGAAACAATTTAACGTAAGAAAATTTATTCTAGAAAATTTTACCAACTTCTACAATTTTTAAAAACACGAACATTAGCTGCTACTATAAACGAGGGAATATCATAAATACGTTGAATTAATTTTAATGAGTCTGCGTCTTTTAAAATATTAAGAACATTTTATTTTTATTGACTAGCTACGAATAAAAACATGTATAAAATGCATTCATAAAAATAATTACATAGTACAGTATAAAAATATCAGGAAAGGCTGGCATGTCAGTCTGCTGGACGAGGTGGCTACTTATTGTTGTGGTTTTTTTCCTGTTTTGGCTACTTCCCTACCACTGGAGAGCATTGGTAAGTAAAATTCAAGTCGATTCAGCTGGATGATGGCTGTTTGCGTCGTTTCGATACTCATTCGTACAGTTTGTTAACTCAAAAAAACGCTATTATCTATTTTGTGTGATAATTGTAAAATATTTATTTATACATATAAATTTCACAATTACTTTTTATAAATTAGTATCTATAATTTTGAATTAGCCCGTGGTTGTGCTGTAGTCATTGGATGATTTGTCATTGATATTTTGCATAAAAACGTTCAAAACTGGTGTCAATATCCGAAAAAACAAAGGACATAAATGATTCGTCAGATACATCAGGGTAATTCGCTTGAAGCTGGTTAGTTGGTGATGTTAACAAAACATCTGAACAATTTAAGGAGTTTGATGAAAATGTATGACTAATGCTTGTCAAAGATGTAGTACTTTCTTGTAATAAAGTATTACAGATGTTTTCACTTTGAATAGGTTTGCAGTGTGCACTATCTCTTTGTGGAGTTTCTTCTAGATCGACATTAGAGTCTGCAGAGGTGTGATTATTTGAAAGATCAGTAGTATTTAAATGTGTGTTAAAAGATGCGAAACTAGAAGTGGCTAAAATGTGATTCTGATTTTGGTCTGTCGATGTCATTTGTTCCGCGAGATAACTTGTAGAATGATTGAAAAGATCTGAAGAACTGTTTTCGCTTGTGTCACAACTTGATGTGCTCATGTATTCTTGCTGACTTTCTAATCTACATTTTTTATCTACAAAATGTTCGGAGCACAATGACTTCCGTTTACTAGTCAAATTGCAAGTACTGGAACTGATATGTGGAGAAGTGTTAAGAGTTCCGGGGTCTGGTTCCATTGTTTCTTCAATCAAGTTCAAATGTGCTGTAGTGTTTTGAACAACGTCTTCACCGAGATCGTTCTCACCACTTGTTGAAACCTTAAGAAGTCTCAGATAGTTGTTTATGATTTGAATTATACTGGCTTTGTTGCGGTTGATTGTTCTTGAAATATGAGGAATTTTTAATGAGCTTTCGTTACGTAAATCAAACACTTCTTCCATATCACTATTTATACTATGTGTATTACTTGTTATGGAGACAACTTTTGTGAGCAGCAAAAGCTCTTTGATTCTACCACTTTCCCAGAGTTCCGCCTCTTCTTCAAGATCTTTGGGAAACTTGTTCTCTGCTCGCAGCATCTTGGATAAAATTGTATATTTTATTATCAAGTCGCCTTTCCTGTCTTTGGGGTTAGTTGTTGGGTTTTTCCAAGCAAGTCTCGCATCATAGCTATTTGTAATTGCTTTCACCTCACTGTCCCACCACACTGGTTTATATTTGATATTCCAAATTTGTTCTTGCCCTTTCTCCTTGCCTGCCACAACTCTGGATAACTCACGAACAGCGAAGTCTAGCCAGTCCTTTTCACTGTTAGCAGCCTTCCTAGTAGATCGTTCTGTATTCATTATTGCAGTCAGAGTCATACAGTTGTTTAACTTGGTGACTGAGTCTGTTGTTGACTCAGACGTTTCTGACTGCCTGTTGTCCAGACGACCACTAAAATTAGCGTCGTCAACGACTTTTTTCTGTGTGTCTTGAATATTATGGTCCAAAATATGACCAAATTGTTTATCTTCTACTGCTTTGTAGATTAACGAATATTGTTTGTATTATCGCTTTTATTGATATCTTTTTTGCGCCTCCGGGGCGGCCGAAAGACGAAAATCGCCATGACGCCCGTCCCAGGTGACGGGCGTATCACAGCAATTTTCTCGTCCACCCCAGGGGGCGCTGGACAACTGGTGGATCTGGTGGCCGCCAGGACGTCACCAGTTCTCCAGCCCACCCTGCGTCACGAGCCTGTCACCGCTCCATTGAACCGCGACCACCCTCCACACCTGCAGGCTTGACGGCGAAACTGGACATTTTCTGTTGGGGAAAAAAAGCGTGTTTGTTTAATTTTAGTAGTTCAATTAACCCAAGCCCTCTTTGAATAATCTTTTGCTTTAAAAAAAACTGCTTGGCACGCTTGTATTATATATATATATATATATATATATATATATGTATATATATATATATATATATATATATATATATATATTATATATATATATATATATATATATATATATATATATATATATATATATATATATATATATATATATATATATATATATATATATATACTAGAGTAGCCGCGGGAATGGAAGAAAGTCTGTCGAAATATACAAGAAAAGTTTCATCAATGCGTTACCAATCCTATATTCTTAGACGCCTGAAATTGTTTTCAAAAACCGAGCTATTTAAATGTAAACAATGCCTGCGCTTGAATCATAAATATTGGGACACAAGTTTGCCTACATTACCGCCGAGGGCCGACCGTGCGAAATTGAATTCCCCCCCCCCCCCCCCACTCTGAAACCTTCTCGGGAGTATTCTTCAACTCGCTAAACTTTTATGGCAATCGGCTGAACGGTATCAAACCGCAATCGTCTTTTGTTTGTATGTACCGTATATAGAAAAAATCACAATCTCCCGGGGCACCGCTCTTTGCGAAATTAAAAA